CCAGGCTGGGGACCCACTGCACTGGCTCATTGGGTCCTGGATTGGCCACTGGCTCACTGTGTAGCCTTCAGTCAAGTATTTGCCCTCTCTGCGCCTCAGAATCCCAGAGTCTCAAAAGGGTTAGAAACACATCTTTTAAGGCCAGAGGCCATCACTGTAAAATGGTGGAGGGAGAAGCATGGAAAATGGAACTTCTATTATCATCATGATTCTGCAGGTCATTAAACTCCTTTGAGCCTCGATTTCTTTATATGAAAAATGAGAATCATGTTTACCTGCTCTGCCTGCCAGGACTCAGATAGGAATCAAATTAGATGAACTATTATGATGTCTAAGAATAACTAAGATTTGGACAATGGTAATTTACCCACGTCATCTGACTTATTCCAGCGATCCTATGAGGTAGGTACTATTTTTGTACCCTGTTTTTCCAGAGGAGCAAACCGTGGCATGGAGAAGTGGGATCACTTGTCCAAGGTCACAGGAACTAAGTGGTTGAGCTGGGCATCAAGCATAGGTGTATCTGTTCACAGAGCCATGGACCTTTGCGTTGTGCGGTTCTGCTGTGTGGTGCCGGCTGAGGCGAAGGGAGAAGACCCGGAGGCTGCGGCCCGGTTCACTCTTGGTTTAGCTGCGGCGGTCCCAGGCACCACTGTCCGTGGGGAGTCGCCGCCCTCTGGCGTTCTAAATGTGACATGCCCCGGCGGGGAAGGGAGCTAGCAATCTGCATTTCAGAAGTGGACTGGGATGAGCTCAGAATAACCCTAACTGATCCTTTCGGAGTTTGGGAGCTCAGGGAAAGTTAGCGCACATCTCACCCAGTGGTTTGCTGGATGCGAAGCTGCGCTGCAGACAGCACCGGGTGGAAGCTTCATAGATCTCAGGCTCCACTGGCCTCTCATCCGGATGTCATTTTGCAGGGGAAATGGCCACCCGTTGCCAGTATTTTATTTCTGACTCGAGTTCTAGAGGAAGACTGAGTGCAGTCAAATCGCTAAAGTGGTGCAGAGTGCAGACAACATGTGAGAGTGTGTGCTTTAAAGGGCCTGCCGCATGTTAGCTCATTTTATAGTCACCACAATCTTATGAAGAAGTTTTCTTATTATCTTTATATACAGTATATGAGAAAATTGACTCAAGGTCACCCTTACCAGTCTGAAGCCAGGGGACTTTCCAAGACCCCACACTGCACCCCTGTGGCAGCCTTATGCATTATTCAGTAATAGCAGCCCACTGAGACACACCTTGCCTCCAGGATCCAAAGGGGGTGCGCTGCATTCATTGTGATTGGAGATGCCAGATGCAACAACTATCCTTCACTTGGAGGGGGTATGCCAAATGTGACAGAGACTACTGGATGCAAGAAATGTCACTAAGGTGGTAGGTGTCTTAAGTTTTGAGGGATTTATTTCATAAACTCTGGTGCATATTTACGATTCTCAAATTTCTATTACAATTCTAAAATTCCAAGTCTTTCTCTATCAACTCTATAACTCTCTATCAACTCTATACAGTAAACAAGGCTATGAATTCAATTTGCATGTAATTTGGTTAGCCACAGGAACTGACTCTGGGTTTGGTTTTCAGAAATCCAGACTTTGTGTTACACAAAATAAGGTATTTCCTCTGGGCAGTCGTGTTTTCTAGCTTTCTACCCATGTATACTCAGCTGAGAATTTAAAATTCTAAGCTTTTTTTTTTTTTTAAATATATCTTTATTGATTTCAGAGAGAGGAAAGGAGAGGGAGAGAGAGAGATAGAAACATCAATGATGAGAGTCATTGATCGGCTGCCTCCTGCACACCCCTGACTGGGGATCGAGCCTGCAACCTGGGCATGTGCTCTGACCGGGAATTGAACCCCGATTGCCCGGATTCTAGATCGACGCTCAACCGCTGAGCCACAGCAGCCGGGCATCTTTTTTTTTTTTTTTTTTTTACCAAGTTCTCCAGTGTACTCCGAAGAAGACAGCTGATCCCACAGTTTTTGTATTTTTAAATTTCCACCATAATACTTGATTATTATAGTTACTTGTTTGCATTCTTAATGTTGAATTTTAACAGTTCTTTGTATATTTTGGATAATAGTTCTTTATCAGATGTGTCCTTTGCAAATATTTCTCCCAGTGTGTGGCTTGTCTTCTCATACTTGACATTGTCTTTTGCAGAACAGAAGTTTTTAATTTTCATAAAGTCTAGCTTATTGTTCCTTTCTTTCATGGGTTGTGTCTTTGATGTTGTATCTAAAAAGTCATATCCATACCCAAGACCATCTAAATTTTCTCATATGTTATCATCTAGGAATTTTATAGTTCTGTGATCCATTTTCAGTTAATTTTTGTGAAGGGAGTAAGGTCTGTGTCTAGATTTTTTTTTTTTTTTGCATGTTCCAGTACCATTTGTTGCAAAGGCTGTCTTTGCAGTATAATGGCATTGCCTTTGCTCCTTTGTCAAAGATCAGTTGACACTATTTATGTGGTACTATTTTGGGGCTCTCTATTACATTCTATTGATCTATTTGTCTATTCTTTCACCAATACCACACTGTCTTAATTACTGTAGTTTTATAGTAAGTCTTGAAGTTGAAGTGTCCGTGTTCAAACTTTGTTCTCCTATATTGTGACGTGACTGTTCTGGGTCTTTTGCTGCTCCTTATAAACTTTAGTATCAGTTTGTGAATATCCACAAAATAACTTGCTGGGATTATTATTGAGATTGCTTTGAATCTATAGATCAAGCTGGGAAGAACTGACATGTGGACAATATCAAGTCTCCCTATCTATGAATACAGAATATTGCTCCATTTAATTTGTTCTAGTTGTCTTTTAAAGCATTGATTTGTGGATTAATTGTATTGCGGTATGTATTATGGTAAGAGCAAATACTTCATCTGATTTTAACCCTTTGAAATTTGGGATTTGCTTTGTAATTGTATTGGTCAGTTTTTACAAATCCTCCTTGGATACTTGAAAATTACGTGTATTCCGCAGTTTTGGGGAGGCAATGTTCCATTAGGCATGTTTGTTATTGCCCTTTTAAAGCCTTTCAATGTCTGACTGGGCATGGCTCAGCAGCTGAGCATCGACCTAGGATCCAGGAGATCAAGGTTTGATTCCTGGTCAGGGCACATGCCTGGGTTGCAGGCTCGATCCCCAGTTGAGGACGTGCAAGAGGCAGCCAATCAGCGACGACTCTCTCATCATTGATGTTTCTATCTCTCTCTCTCTTCTCCCTTCCTTTCTCTAAAATCAGTAAAATAAATAAATAAATAAAGTCTTTCAATACTTACTAAATTTTTTGGCCTGCATTTTGAATCAGTTGGCCATATATGTAGCCGTTTATTTCTGGGCTCTCTCTTCTATCCCACTGGTATATATGTCCGTCCGTATGCTCCTGACATACTGCTTTGATTATTGTAGCTTTGTAGCAAGTTTTGAAATCAGGAAGTATAAGAGCTTTGACTTTCTTTTTTTTTTAAAGATTGTTCTCACTATTCAAGGTCCCTTCAAATTCTATCTAAATTTGGGGACAATTTTTCTATTTTAACAAAAGAAATCATTAGGAGTTTGATAGGTATTGTACCAAATCTGTAGATTGCCTTGGGTAGTATTGACATTTTAACAATATTATGTCTTTTAATCCATGAACATGGGATGTTTTTCCACGGACTGGGGTCTTTTTTAAATTTCTTTCAACAATGCTTTGTAGTCTTCAGTGTACAAGTCTTTCACCTCATGGTTAAGTTTATTCCTAAATATATATATTTTGATACTATTGCAAATAGATTTTTTTCTTAATTTCCTTTTCGAATTGTTAATTATTAAGTGTATGGAAACACAACTGAGTTTTGTATCCTGCAACTTTTCTCAATTTATTTATTTGTTCCAACAATTATTTTGTGAAATCTTTAGGATTTTCTACATACAAGATCATGTTGTCTGTGAACAGAGATAATTAACTTCTTTTCAATTTGGATGCCTTCTGTTCCTTTTTCTTGCCTAATTGCCAGGCTAGGACTTCCAATATTATATTGAATAGAGTGATAAAGTGGGCATTCTTGTCCTCTTCTTGATCTTAGAGGAAAAATATTTAGCTGTGGGCTTTTCATGTGTATACACAGCTGCCTTTAAATGTCGCAATTTCCTTTAGAGTTTCACATCTGCTTCTTCTCAGGGCCTTATATGTTCTGTTGCATTCCTCTATCATCTCTTGCCTCTGAGCACCCTTGGGTCTGCAGTTCCACTGCAATTTTCATGTGTCACTGCACCTGCCACTGCTTTCAGCAGCCTCCAAACGATGTCACTGCTCCTGTCTGATGAACAGAAACAGAAATCAGCCCCTTGGGCAGCCCTCAGTCATGCCCAGACATTGCAAGCAAATTCCCTTTTTTTTCAGAAGGAGAAACCAAGAATTGGGGGACTCCTTCCTAATTGTGCTCAGCAAGGGTGTGCAAAAACACCATGAAACTTCCCACTGCTTTTAGTTTTCCTTTCTCTTTTTCTTTTTTTTTTTAAATCCTCACCTGAGGATACGCTTTATTGATCTGAGAGAGAGAGGAAGGGAGAGAGAGAGAAACATCAATCAGTTGCCTCCTGCATGTGGTGTCCCAACGGCTTAGGTGAGATGGAAAAGGCATTAGATTTGTGGGTGGAAGATATGAACAGATAGAGACCACATTCACATAACTTTTACTACAGTATTTTGCCATAATTGTTCTATTTTATTGTTAGTTATTTTTGTTAATCTCTTGCTGTGCCTAATTTATAAATTAAACTTTATCATAGGTATGTATGTATAGGAAAAAAACAGTGCGATGGGGTTTGGTACTGTCTGAGGTTTCAGGCATCCACTGGGGGTCTTGGCATCCCCTCCCATGTGGGGGACCACTGTACTCTGACTTTGCTGTTCCTTCCTCAAGGGCTGGCAGGGGAGAGAAGCAGAAAAAGGGGTGACTTTCTTGTGGACTCGCCAGCTGGGTTTGTTGTCTCACATTTTGGGGGCCTATTTGGGGGCCAGGGGAACTAATGATGACCCGTCTTCTGAGTCTCTGCCTCCCACTCCCACCTCCCTGTCTGTTGCTGCCAGATTCCCTCGGGGCTTTCTCCCCGGGTCAGAACCGGTCCTGGGTGTTGGCCAAGGTCTTCTGTCTCCCCGGGCCTCTTCATCCACGGCAGCCTGGATGTTCCTGGCTACCCGGAGGCCAGACTGGATGGCAGTGTCTATCCAGCCATGGGGCAGGCAGGTGTGCTCGCCAGCAAAGTGGATGCGGCCCTCTGGCTGGAAGAGCCGTGGCAAATAATCCTTGAATTGGTAGGGCGTGAACACAGCGAAGGCGCCCACGACCAGGGGATCCAGAGACCAGTGCTTGACCTTGGACGACGGGCACATGCGCCGCAGCTCCTCCTTGGGTATCTGGTGCACAGCTGCCAGGGCCTCCAGGACGATATCCAGCACCTGGTCCTGACTCAGGGACATGAAGAAGAGGGAATGGTCGTCGAGAGTGTAGGAGGCCCCCAGGACGCCCTTGCCCCCGGGAAGGCTGTGGCTGGGGTAATGGATGTAGCGCCAGGGCCGGTCGGTGATGGAGACTCCGCCCCGGATGCCATCCCGCTCCCAGAAGGGCTCGTCACAGGCCAGAAGCACCTTGGTGGCGCTGGTGTAATGCACCGAGCGGAGCGCGTCGGCCTTGTCTAGGGAGAGTGGTGGCGTGGAGGTGATGAAGCGCGTGGCCTTGGCCGAGGCGGGGATGACAAAATCCGCGGTGAGACCGTGCACCGACGGTTGGACTTGCCCAGCCGGTAGGAAACCTGGACCTCGGGCCCATCCCTCACTACCGTCTCCACCGTGGAGCCCGGACGGATGGTGCCAGGCCTCCAGCTGGCGCTGAGGGCTTGGGGAGCTGGTCGAAGCCGCCTGTGATCTCGGGAAAGCTGCGGGAGTGAAGAGAAGGGAGGGGCGAGGGTGGGGCGTGAGGCCTGGCTGCCCCGTCGCCAGCAGCATTCCTGGTCTGAAAGGGAAGGAAACTAGCTTCATAATCGTACTTTATATACAACATCTTAATCAATCTCTATGAGGGAAGGATTATCGTTGAATTTTATAGTTTGCAACACTGACAACCAGAGAAAAGGGAGTTTCCCATGATGACAGCTCGTGGATTCAGCCACCATGCAATTCTGCACCCAGACCTGGGTTTGGATTCTGGCTCCAGCCCTTGGCCCAGTTGTGTGAACTTGGCTGTTATATGGTTTCTCTGGGCCACAGGAGCCTGACTGGTACAATGGCTCTGAATAATAGTACCTACCTTCCAGGTGAATAATAGTACCTACCTTCCAGGTGATCGTAAGATTACATGTGATAATTCTTGGCAAGTGCTTAGGACGGTGCCTGGCACAGTCACTGCTCAATAATCAAAGTTCCCTTTCTCTGCTCTGATTGGAGGAGAGGGCAGACTTGCATCCCGGTCCAGATCAGCCTTACCCATCGCTTTTGGAGAAGATGATGTCAGATTGCAGGGACTCCAGGAAGGACTTATGGAATTCGACACCCTCATTCATCATATCCCGGATCATCTTTACCGGCTCCTGGGCTCAGCATCCCTTCCTTCAGCAGGTAAGCCTGTGGGGGTGGAAGTGCCAGATGGAGGGCCCTGTGTGTAGGCAGGGCCCGGGTCAGGCAGGGGTGGGACTGGACTCCAGGGAGGTAAAGGCTTGGCCGTGGGAAGAGAGAGTCCTGGTAGGCAGGGAACAGGCCCTGGGAGCTAAGGTGAGCACACTCACCCCTCCATGTCTATCCTGGGGTTTCTTCCTTTCTTTTCTTCTTTTAGCTAATCCTCACCTGTTTTCCATTGATATATATATATATATATTTTTTTAGAGAGAGTGGAAGGGAGGGGAAAAGAGAGAGAAACATCGATGTGACAGAGATACATGGATTGGTTGCCTCTTGCACTTGCCCCAACCAGGGTCAGGGACTGAGCCTGCCGCCGAGGTACATGTTCTTGGCCAGAATCGAACCCGGGACCCTTCAGTTCGTGGGCTGATACTCTAACCAGTGAGTCAAACTGACTAGGGCTATCCTGAGATTTCTTTGCCTCACTTACCTTGGTGGAATAAGAATCATAAGAGGACATCAGATGGCTGCAGTTGAAATTTTTCAGACTCTGTTTGAGCTGCAAAAGGGGAGGAAAGGGGAAGCAGCTTTGGATTAAAACCAAATATCCAGAAGCAGGACTCCCAGGTTCTCAGGATGTCCCTTTGAAAAGGGTGGTGTAAGGAGGTAGGGAAATGGAAGGACCTGAGGAAGGAAGCTTCCAGGAGCTCCTAAATACGTCTCTTTCCCCCCAAATCTCCCCTCTGTTTAAAGATCTTTGGAGACTGAAATTTAAGGTGAAGACCTTCGCTGCAGTCTAGCAGAACTGATTCAATACCAAGGATTCCCTTTCCTTCCATTGCCACTGATCAAGCAGTATGATGGGCCACCCAGGGTCGGAAGATATGGGGCTGGGCCCTAAGGTTGGGGTGGTGACATTCTTAGGGGATGTTAGAAGGAAGGCAGACCAATCGCACGAGTATTGGGTAGGAGTCAGGTGACCTGGGTCCATCTGCTAACTTGCCAGGTGACTTAGGCCAGACTCTGTTCTTTCCCAGCCCTGGGAGGGCTCGCAGGAGTCACCTTGGCAATGGACTGGTGGAAGAGATCCTCAGCACTCTTGCCTTTCTCCGTGGGGTTCAGGGGATAGCCCATGATCTCTGGGTTGGCCTTGACCTCCCTGATGCGGTAACGGTGTCCGTTGATGAGGTACCAGGTGTTGCCATTGTACTGGATGAACTTGTTCAGCTTCAGGCCCAGCTTCTTGACATAGGTGTGCACCAGCCTGGAGCAAATACAGGCCTAACATGGCACCCATCCCAGCGGTACCTCATTCTTGCTGGCTGCACAATAGGAGCCGTTTCCGGGAAAACCAGTTTCTTTATGTGCCTGGGGAACTCAGACTAACTCCTTCCTCCTCTCTAACCCTGTTTCTTCTTGCCGTGGCCTTAGCTCTTTTCCTTCTGCTTTTGCTCTGAGGGAGGTGGGGAGTAGGGAGTTCACCCATCACAGAATGAAGGCCTTTTAGGAAGCCCCAGGGTATAGGATTCCAACATAGAGACAGAGGCCTTTTGTTTCAGGCAGTATTTGAAATTCCACTTTCCATTTCTAGGTAAGTTCAAGGCAGAATCTAAAAACTTTTAGTTTGGGCTGTTTCAATTGGATTTTGTTTTAGCTTTGGGTGGTTTGGAGGGAAATCTCTGGTTCAGTTTATACTTTAAAAAGAAGTCATGTTTTTGGAGGTATGTGGGACACCAGGCAAGGGATCTTTTTTGTTTTGGAAGCCTCAGGACCAGGGGCCAGGCTCTCTTCCAGGAGTCGGTATGGTTTAGACGTCAAGCATCTGCTTTTGTGTCAGACACGTCCTTGATTTTGTGGAGCTTTGTCACTTTCTCCTGGGAGAGTCTTGGGTGAGTCACTTTATATCTCTAAGTCCAGTTTCTTGATTTGTAAACGGGAAACACAGTGTACCAAATTGCAGTAATGAAATGATGCACAGATAATGCTTAGCACATGGTAAGTGTTCGACAAATGGTGGCTGTTATCATTTGATAGCTCACTGTGGTATAATTAGCATATAAGCTGCCCATATTTAAAGCACACAATTTGATGAGTTCATGGTAACTATTATCATGATTCGTTTGGGATCTCCCACTTTCTCTGTGACCCTGGGCTCTGAGCCTCAGTTGTCTCTGTCAAGGGGGAGACTAGTCCCAGTCCTGACTTGCAGGACCGAACCCAGTGGGACAGGGAATCTGAACGGGCTCTGACTCAATGGCAGCAGGGCCCACAGTATCTCCTCCTAATCCTCCTACCAGCCCTCCCTCCATCCCTTTCCCAGGACCTACCTGTGGGACTTTGGGATGCGCATGGGCCCCAGTTCATAGTACCAGCCCTCCTGCTTGTTCTTGATTGTGACCACTCGACCCCTGACGTGGTTGCTGGCTTCCAGGACCAAAACCTGGGGTCAGGAGAAGCTGTCATTCCCGGGGCCAGGCTCTCCCTTCCCCCCCCCGTACGCCCAGCCAGCCACAGGCTCTAATCTGGAATCCCAGCAGGATAACCCAGCTGCGGGGGTGGGGGTCCTCCAGGAGGGTCCTGGGTAAGGTGAGTGAGGCAGAAGAGCTCCTCAGTGGCAGGGGACAGAGTGCGACTTGGTCTGTACCTGTGAGCAGACCCCTTCTCGACTTTTGTTTCCATGAGAACAGAGATTACGGTTAAGGCCACATCTCAGGGGTTTTGAGAAACAATAACTAAGGGCTAAGACACCTAGTGGGTTACGTGCAGTTGTTTTCCCTTTTCCACCCGGGGAGCAAACCCAGAGGCTAATGACTGAGGCCCCTCCAAAGCCTGCTCACCTGGTGGCCAGCGTCCTGCAGGGCCTTGGCCGCCACCAGGCCTGACATGCCAGCTCCCACCACCACCATGCGCTCGGGCAGTGGAGAGGTGTGCAGGCCCTCCTGGGCTGTGACACGACGGACTCATAGTCAGGGTCCTGGAAGCACTTGGCCAGGTCCTCATCGTAGCCAAGGCAGCTGGGAGTAGCCAGCAGGAGCCCTAAGATCAGAATTCCTGGGGCAGAGAAAGGAATGGGGGCTGTCGTCCTGGGGCCCAAGCGCTGTACCCCACCCTACCCGGGGCGAGCTTGGCTGGGCGAACGAGTGGGGATGGCAGTGTATTGAATGTGTGGTTGTAAACACATGTGTTTGAGATTGTGTCTCTGTTGGGGTGATTGTGTTGTATTGTGTGAACGGTGCTGGTGTTAGTTGTGTGATTGTGACTGTGGACTGTGAGTTCATGTGTGGGCACGTGATTGGAAATTATGAGTGTGTGCAGGTTCGTATTTGACTGTAAATATGCCTGCTTCTAATGGTGAGTGTGTATGTATGTGAGCTTGTCTGTGATATACGTGCTGTGACTGTGAGTTTGTGATTGTTGTTCAGTATGACTGTGCATTGTGTGTGATTTTATGTGAGGGGGTGTGTTCGTGGGACAGTGTGGTTACCTGAGTAAATGTGTGCATGAATCTGTTGGGAAAGCGAGATGGGATACAGTGTGTGTGTGTGTTGGTCTGGGTTTCGAGTGTGTCAGGTGCACTAGCCTGGGTTTGGAGTGTGTTGGGTGCACAGGCCTGGGTTTGGAGTGTGTTGGGTGTGCGCTAGCCTGGGTTTGGAAAAGTGAGGATGGTGAATGTGCATTTCCTTGGGTCTGAGAGGAAACGTGGCTGCCTGTGTTCTTGTGTTAGATTCTGTGTGTGCATTTGAGTGTGAGGCTGGGTCGGGGAGCCTGAAGGTGCCTGTGTTCTTTGGGAATATGTGGATTTATGAGAGGATGTNATTTCCTTGGGTCTGAGAGGAAACGTGGCTGCCTGTGTTCTTGTGTTAGATTCTGTGTGTGCATTTGAGTGTGAGGCTGGGTCGGGGAGCCTGAAGGTGCCTGTGTTCTTTGGGAATATGTGCATTTATGAGAGGATGTTGTGTGTGTGTGTGTGTGTGTGTGTGTGTGTGTGTAAGTGAGAGTGTGTGAAGCACAGTTCTCTTCAGGGAAAGAGAATGGAGGAATTGTAACCAGTTTCTCAGTGACATCTAGAGCCTCAGGGGACCCTTGCAATCCTGTTGCTTGCCCCTAGCCGCCCGGTATTTTTCCACAGCCCTCCAGGTTTTCTACTGTGCAGCTGAGATTGGAAATCAGAGTTAGTCTAGAACATGCAGTAAGTCCTGAGTGACTGGTTTTCTCCACAATAACTGCCCTGATGTACAGAGAGATTCGCCTGGGACTGAGAGAAGAGGCTGTGTGGCTTCCTCAGTGTCGCCTGTTCTAAAAGGGAAAAGCCAGGAGCTGTGTCACATTGTGCCCTTGTACTAGCTCTGGGTTTTTTGGTAGGTGAGGAGCCCTGAGTCTAGTCTTTGCACAGGTGAGGGCCTGGCGCGCTCGGCCACAGTGAGATGTGCTACGGAGGCGCCAGGAGCGCCGCCAGTGCGCAGCTCAGCTGGGGAATAGCCATGAACTCGTGGAGATCCACGAGGAGGACAGGAAGCCGAAACAGCCGCGCGCGCGCACACACACACACACACACACAGGAAAGGTTGCAGGACAAGGACAGGGGCTGCAGGAGGACCCCGGGGTAGCAGGGGAAGGCCTGTCCACTAAGCGCTGCGATTCAGGGGCATAGGNCCACACACACACGCACAGGGAAAGGGTGCAGGGCGAGCGCTGCGGGAGGACCCGGGGTGGCCGAGGAAGGCGCTGTGCACTGAGCGCTGCGATTCGGGGGCACAGACCAAGGTCAGCGGCACGCTGCTGGGCACAGGAGAGGGTCCTGGAAGGCCAGGCGCTGGCCACTTTGCGCAGGGTCCGTCTGCTGCTGCTGACCCAAAGGAAGTTGGTTGCTGGTGACTCCCTCCAAGACGTGGAGAGCACAGCCTACGACGAGCAGTGGCTTGCACACCCCAGGGGCCACAGGCCTGCCAACCACCCACCAGCGTGCTGGGAGACACCCTTTGCTCTGCGGCAGGAAGAATGACCCCAGCGGCCCAGCTGTGGACACTCAGCCAGTCCCCGGAGCCCGCTCGCCTTGCAGGGGGCCGAGGCACTAGTGGTGGCACTAGACGCGCTGATGCAGCACGCAGGCCCCACCAAAACTCCCGCTTCCCGATCCTCTTCCTCCACTCAAGCCAAACGCCTCCTTTGCCGCGACGTGAGACCACAGGCACCTGCATGCTGCTGACCCAGCCCATCCCTGGTGGCTCCCTCAGGCCACAGGACGTGCATCCAGCCCGGCTTTGGCTCGGCTGCACTTCAAGAGTGCTTGTTATTAGTGTCATTTTAAGCCTAAGTAGACATCCGTCTCCCAGGAAGAAATGTTGATGTGTTATGAGTTCTGTTATTATGTCACAGAAAGGAAAGGGGGTTTGCTGGAGAAGCCTGGCGCAGGAAGCAAATGGGAATAAATAAGGGCGTGTTCTAAAGAAACAGTTATGGCCTTTGAAGGCGCTGACAAGAGCTCTCATTTCCCACCTGCGCCTGCGTTGCGTCTTGTAAGAAGCAGGAGGTCAGTGTGACCCCACGTTTGCTCTGCAAGGGCAGGGCCCCAGAAGGACTGGCCCGCACAGGAACCTGCCTGCTGCACACCCAGCGTGGCCAGGCCGCCCATCTGGCCGCCCTGGGGCAGGGGACGCTGCAGCCCTGTGCCTCCTGCCCAGGGGCCTGGGCGAGCCTTGTAGTGCATGACCAAGGGCAACTGTGCTGTCCTGGGCTAGGGAAGGAGCCCAGCGCCTGACTTCTAACCTTCAGCAGTTTTTACTTAATTTTTCTAGCTCAAAGGATTTTTTTTTATTATTATATTACTTGGCAATAACTAATCGTGTGTGGTGAGAAAGAGTGTAGCTTTCCATTCATCATTAGATGCCGTTCCAGAAGGAGGAGATGAATTCAGGGGTGGGTGTGTGGGGGGGGGCAGGCTTGAGTCACCAGCAAGTGACGGAGAGGGTTTTTGAGAGCTGAGGGACGGCAGCAGGGGATGCCTAAAAGACTCTGTCACCCGGCCCTCGGGGCTCAGCAGTTGAGCGTCGACCTATGAACCAGAAGATCGTGGTTCAATTCCCAGTCGGGGCACATGTCTGGGTTGTGGAAGCCCCAGTGTGGGGCATGCAGGAAGCATCAGATCAGTGACTCTCTCATCACTGATGTTTCTCTCCCTCTCTCCCTCTCTCCCTCTCTCTCTCTCTCTCTCTTTCCCTCCCTCCCTCTCTCTGAAATCAATAAAAACATATTAAAATAAAAAAATTTAAAAAAGACTGTTCAGTGCTTATTCTGGCTTAGGAGTACGGGCTTCAACCCCAGACCTCACAATGAAACACACTTGACCTCTCCTTGTCAGGCCCCTCTTGCAAGCTCTCGAGGAGATTTGTCGCATAAAGGGCCCTGCAGAGGTTCTGAGCAAACTCTTGTTACTCCCCTCTGCTTGGAGTCATCTGTGAAACGTTCAGATGTGTGAGCTCCAAGGGCCCCCAGTGGGCAGGAAGTGCAGGGACCGCAGCCCCCCACTTGTTGGGTGCAGGCCGCCCTCTGCAAGGGAATTAGCCAGGGTGGCTCTCCAACGTGACTCGCCGTAGAAGGACCCACCGGAAGGTGGATGTTTGAATCCCACCCGCTCCCCTTCACTGGGGTGGAGGTAGCTTCAGAACGGACGTATTTCATAGATAATATGGGAAAGTAGCAGGAAAAAAGGCAGAATAGAGATATAAAGAGTGGGAAATGAGGAATCGATTTGGAAAGCAGAGCGGAAGCATTTACAGCCTGTTGGAAGTGTGCACGCGCAGTTCAAAATAAGGCTTTCTACTTGCGAAGTCTGGTTGGGGATGTATGGTCTTTTAACAAATCAAGACGGCAACGCTCATCCATCCAAATAAATCTTTTGCATTTCCAACATCCATAGACTAGCTTATCTTAGCAAAATATATGGATCCCTGGGAAGGTGTACCCAAATCCATGTTAAACTTTTATTTTGGATGTACCAGAAAATCCTGTTTGTGACTCTGTCATGAATGATTTGGAATCTGATCCAATTTTGTTTAAAGGCCCAAGTGTTGAATGTTCTTTAAATTCCACAAGTTATGTGTGGAAGAGTGTGAGTAAATGCTAACATTTAAATAATGATCCAGATTCCTGATGGCATAGAAANCTGGTCGGGGCTCCGACTGAAAGGTCGCGGTTCCGTTCCTGCTCAAGGACACATACCTCAGCTGCAGGTTCACTCCCCAGCCCCAGTTCAGGCTCGTACTGAAGGCAAGCAATTGATGTTTCTCTCTCTTCTCTCTCTCTTCCTTCCTTCCACTCTCTAAAAGTCAATGGAAAAAAATATCCTCAGGTGAGGTTTTCAAAAAAGATAACAAAGNTCAGGCTCGTACTGAAGGCAAGCAATTGATGTTTCTCTCTCTTCTCTCTCTCTTCCTTCCTTCCACTCTCTAAAAGTCAATGGAAAAAAATATCCTCAGGTGAGGTTTTAAAAAAAGATACAAAAGAAGTTACTCCTGAAATGCTCTACTCTGTCTTTGATGAACCTGTGGATTTAGGCACATTCAGTCTTGGAGAGAACAGACAGAGCTTGGCGCCATGTACTGAAATGCTGTCATTCCTGGGGTTGGGTCCAGAGGCTCACAGAAGACCCCAAATAACAGTTCGTTCCTGGAATTGCTGGAATTGACAAATCCAGATTGAGTAGCGTGTTTTTCTGGGCATGATTTATCCTTGCTTTAACCATGGCCATCTGAGGTTGTGAGTTATGCTGTGTGTGTAACTGGCTTGGTTTATTAATCCCACAACTGGAGACTCTACTACTGATTTAATATTTACTGAGCACCCAAAATATGTCAAACACAGTACAAGCCCCAGCTCGAAGAGCTTCACAAAGTGAGTCAGCCGCACATGCGTCTTATACACATAGCAAAGGCATTGACCCATGAAGGAAAATCAGNAAAGGCATCAACGCATGAAGGAAAATCAATGGAGGCACTGCCTTGAGGAACAGGTGCTCCTGACCTCTCATCTGTGGGGAATGGACCCTGGGCTCA